ATATATACATACATACATACACATACATATATATATATATACATACAGTATATATATATATATGTGAAGTATATTATCAGTTAGGATTCTCTAGAAACTGAGTGGTTTCCTCTCCATCCTTCATCTTCTCATCAGCATCATGTGATTCCACTGTGACAGGAAACTAACAGACTTATGTTACCACACACACACACACACACACACACACACACACACACACAGGAGTGACTGCTGCATTCGTCTTCATGTTTTCACTTAATCAACGCTTCAAACATTTCTACTTTAACCTTTAAATCTAGTTTTAATCCATTATTTCTGCGTCTGTTCTAAGTGAAGCCCTTCAGGCTGTTTGTATATTAATAAATGAAGCAGAGTTAATATCAGTGGACTTTAAGAATAATAATACAGATGTTTTGGAGCTAGTTATTCTGACAGATAACAGATCATGTTAAAGTGGATTCAACCACACGTGTTCGTGTCTACTTGTTAACATTGGTGCAGATAGTCTCATTAAAGTGAGTTGAATCATCTCAGCAGTGAACCACTCCACACTGACTTGGTGTCCCGTTGTGTTTGATGCTTAGTGCTGAAAGGCCGACTGCTTCTGTGACAGCAGCAGTAACGTCAGTGTGTTGGAAAAGATTGTTGAGACTCGATGCAAACAAGACGTTGAATAAAGTTCCACAGATTATTTATCTTATCCTCGTAGTGATAAGATAAATAATAGAGCTCATTTAATACATCAGATAACTGATGACGACATAAACAGGAAACTGAACACTTCGTTAGCAGAGGAGCAGAAGAAGAGTCCGACAGACGAGAAGAGACAGACGGTCTACCTGGACATGGATCAGCTGCTGATGCTGATGCTGAGGAGCTCAGGATTCTGTTTGAATGAGGAATGTGTGGAAGGTTCAAAGCCTCAGCGTAGAAATACTGAATTAAAGTATTTATGCGTTTCTGCATTTTCCTGGTTAACTGACTCGACGGAGAGAAGGAGACCGGCGAGAGAGAGAGACAGAGACTGGCAGCCGACGAAGTGGATGCACCCGACGAAAACTATATATATAGTCCCGTTTTGTCTGGATCCAACCAGAGCCTCTGGTCCCACAGTCCGTCACAGTGTGAACCTGATCTGGATTGGACATCATGCTGATGAATCACCTGTCTCGGTGGATCCTCCTCTGTGGTTCAGCTCCTCTATGGCCTTTGTGAAAATAAAAAAACTAATAAAATAAAATTAAAATAAAGGGCTTCCTGTTCCGCGACTGAGAGGATGACAGCTTAATTTTCGATCTCCCCGATGGTTTTGTGAAATAACCCCAAAAAATGTTAGTTTTGCCAATACCAGTGCAAATTTTGTTTAATAATGGAGAAAGGGGTTATTATTAGAAGTAGGACGACCACAAACGTGATGGAACACGATCCCGAACTGGGACAAGACAGCCGAGACAGCTCTCCGGGCCCATACGCACACGACGAGGATAGCTCAGAAGCTAGCCTGCGAAGCATTCTCAATGAACTTCAGAGAAGATAACAGGGTCCAACTCACTGACATTAAGCACGAATTGAAGAGAGCAAATGACAGACTGGACGAGGCAGAGGGGAGAATAGATGAAACTGAGACTGTGCTTCAAGCAACATCAACGCTAATTAAACAGCTAATGCAGCGCCAAGCTAATCTGGAAGCCAGGCTGATAAATCAGGAGGGCCGAGCGCGCAGGGATAATTTAAGGATTTACGGAATACCCGAAGATAAAGAGGGCACCGACATGGCTGGTTTTTAGGATAACCTGCTAAAAAAAAAGCACTCGACCTCCCCCGTGACAGAGACCTCGGAATAGAACGGATACATCGAGCACTGGCACCAAAGCCCAACGGGCCGCAGGCAAAGCCTCGATCGATAGTGGTCAAGTTCGGGAGTTACCGGACGAAGGAAGAGGTGCTCCGGAGTGCATGGCAGAAAAAAGAAGTCTCTTACAACAATACTTGCTTCTATGTTGACCACGACTTCCCCCCCGAAGTGCTGAAGAAGCACTTCGGCGAAGCCAAAAAAAACCCTGAAAGAAAAACAAATCAAGTTCCAGACACCGTACCCCGCAAGGATGCGGGTCTTCTACGATAATGGCACACGGCTGTTTCAGATGCTGCAGAAGCGACCAGAGACATGGCCTCACGAGGATTCCCAGTGACGGTGGTGAGGTCCTCCGCCCCTCTGGACCAAGAGGAGATCCGGCTCCTGTCTACAGGTGGCCGGGAGACGGCAAGACCGGAGTGATGACCAGGAACCCAGTGCGGCGGACAGCTGCATGCAACCCGAAAAAACCCCACCACTCTCGATACAAGGATAAACTCCAGGAATTCAGAAGGCGATCCCCCACGACAGGACACCGATGATTCTTCACAGAAATGCAGAGAAGTTGTAATTGACTCCCGAGTGATAATTACTTTGGTTGTTTGTCCGGAGGACTGCCTTGGCCTTCTCAAGAGGCAACTACTCCTACAGGTTGATGTTCTGGTTCATTATAGCAGTCGGGACTTGTTATCCATGCTTCATTTGATTTTACTTTGTGTGGATTTTATCTAACATGCGGCCACACTTTAGGGCCCCATGGGCGCGATGTGGGACATTCCCTCATGGGGGCTTTGACTTTATAAAGTCCTCTACATCACAAACAGCTGCTCTAAACTGTTTCGGTGATTTCTGTTAAAAGCCGTTTCACGTTCTTTGTCCTACATTTGTTTCTGGGAGAGATGTTTTCAGTGTATAACTTTTATGTTATTAGGGATATTGGGAGAGGTTGCGTCTGTGATTATGGATGTTTGAAACTATGAATAAGAACATCCTTAAGGTCATTTCATTTAATGTGAAAGGGACCCAGCTAAGAGAAGTCAAACACTGTCAAATGAAAAGGCAAATGTTGTGCTCTTGCAAAAGACACACCTCACCCCATCAGAACATGAAAAAGGATGTTCATATACCAAAAACAAACATGGACGCCAACTGTCACGTTGGCCAAATCCCAATGTCCCCCCTTACGGACTCAGAGGCGCGCTCCCGCCAAGTCCGTGAGGGTTTAGTTCTGTCCCACTGTCACATGGAGTGTTTGAGGCTCTCTAGCAGACATTTTGAGCCCTTTATGAACCCTTTCTGTAAGTCAGCATGGTATGCTGACTTAGCCTAAGGGAATTACCCACAAATCATTGCAATGTGACGTTAAACACGGGGTAACCAGTGGACGCATGGAGACGTAAACAAAAAGGTAACCAAAGAGGACGGCTCACGTGTGTTCAGCCTGGAGTATTACATTTACTCAGAAACATTAAGGGTTAAAAATGGAACAAAACATAAAATCAGAAGATATTTATTTATTCAAATATTTGATTTTCTCATTGAAGCCGTTTTGACAAAAACTAGTAAATAGATGATATGAAGTTACCTCATCTTGTGAGGAAAGAGCCTGAAGGTGTTCAAATCAGGGAGTACAAAGTATAAAATAAATACACAATTATAAATCATATTTTTTGTTGTTTTCATGGTAACGTGATATGTCCCATTCATATTCACGCCATCTCAAGCCCTCACAGTCTCTCACAATCAACCACTTACCAGGTGACGTCAGTAAGTCCTTGAGGGTTTAAGGGGGGGTACACTGGGATTTGGCTATGTTCATGTACCAAAAACAAACATGGACGCCAACCGTCACGCGTTCATGTACCAAAAACAAACATGGACGCCAACCGTCACGCATTCATGTACCAAAAACAAACATGGACGCCAACCGTCACGCATTCTTGTACCAAAAACAAACGACGCCAACCGTCACGCGTTCATGTACCAAAACGATGTTAAACTCTATTGTGGCTCCACTGTACTGATAAAATTTTCTTCCTCGTGGAGGAGATCACAGACGTGAGTAACTCCTGAAATCCTAGTTTGAAACTTTTTTTTTTTTTTATTAATCCCACTTCAGACACTAGCTTTAACTTCAGTCGATTTGATTTTTATCCAGTTTGATTTGTAACTATTGTCTATATTACTTATTTTGAATAAGTACAGTTGTAGACTCAACATGTGATCATAACATGATCACATGGTCTGATGTTTAATATGTTGGTGGGATGCAGCTGTTTGGAGCCAAAGACGAGACCATAAACTAGATATCATGTCATCTTACATCTTTATTATGTCCATATTAAAATCATACAGAAAAAGCACAAAAATACATGCATGTCTAAAATGAAGTTGTGGTCCCACCACATCTCACAGTCAGACAAAAGTAAATAATTCTACAGCAGCTGAGACTTAAGTGCAGAGTTCATATTCTCATTTTCTTCGACTTCCCTTTTTGAAACTTCTCAGAATTTCGTAGATTCAATTGTTTTTCACCATTATCATTAAATAGTGCAGCGGTGAGCCACTGAGAGACGTCACGGTTACTGTGGGGCAGAACGTTAAGGTGCTATAGTTCCTCTGTTCACTGTGTGAAGTCATCTCCTCCTAAAATAAAACTGTGTTGATGTTCCTCTCAGGTGGAAACACAAAGAGGACATTTTATTTAGAAAAAGATCAAAACCTTCTTCAGCTGAAACAGAAGAGTTCCCATGACGCACCTCTTCACCAGCAGAGGAAGAGATTAAATACACGTGGACATGCGAGTAATGAAGACACTTCATACTCACATCCTGTTTACTGCACCACAGTCACCGATAAAAGAAGAACGGACTGAAAGATGAAACACCGATATATAAAAATATCAACTATGGACAGAAGTATACTTCACGTGTCCTTTCTTTGAGTCTGGAGGGAAGTTAGCGTCTCAGTGGGAGGAGACTCGGGCACCGTTAGCAGCGAGGACTCGACCGTCTCTTAGATAAGCGGACTGAATGTCTCTGGGGTCCTCAGGCGTCCCGTGCACTCTGAAGCGGTACATGCAGGTGTACTGCTCGTGGCCCCAGTTGGACAACACCTGAACCTCAATGATCTGGAAGGCCGCGTCGTTGTCCTCCTTAAGACGACAAAACATAAGCATGAAAGTAAGGTAGTTATCGAGTCCTGAAGCCTACACGCGAGTCTGAACACAGAGTAGAATGTTTTCCTAACAACATCTGAACACGTTGAAATAATAAAAAGCAGTGTTAAGATAAAGTGTGGCATCATCAGCGTATCGGCACACCTGACTGCAGTTTAACGCTACAAAGACTTTCAAATGTGACGTCTGTGGGGATGAAAGACACTCGACAGGGTTTGTTCAGCGCTCACAGGTAAAAGATACAGAAACATAAAATACTTTAAAACATAGTACACAGTAATGAGGAGCAGGAAGCTGATCATCCTCAGCACATCAAAGACCTCATTATTACACTCTGTCACCATTATTTTATGTTTAATAAAGGCTCATACTAAGTCTTCTCATACTATTTATATACTTATAGTGCATTCATAAAATGTAACTTCTTGTGTTCTCCATGTTTGGGACTCTTTCTTCTCTACTTACACATTAAACATATTTAATAAACGTGGTTTAAAGGACGGTGACTCACGGTGAGCCGGTAGCTCTGCAGAGACTCTCCGTCCTGGTCAAAGGTAAAGGAGCCCAACAGCTTCCCTCTGACGTCAGCTTCATCCTCCAGACCCTGAACACAACACACAGGAACTTCATCACAGGTCAGTGAAGCAGCCAGCGTCTGTCCGTCTCTCGTCTCCGGTCCCCCCCCCCGTCTCCCTCTCTCACGTAGACGGTGAAGTCTCTCGGGGCACTGGTCAGAGTCCCGCTGGGTGCCAGTGTTCTGGGGATGTGCTCCATGGTGAAGGCGGTGGGGAGGATCCTCATGGAGAGCCGGATCACCAGGACACCTGTGGAGCCTCTGAAGGCCCAGCAGTTTCCTGGCTTGACGTCCGGCTGCAGGTCAGAGACGCACAGGTAACATTAGAAAAGTCAACACAAATGACAGACGACCAACAGCTGGTGTGTGTTTGGCGTGTTGGGCGTGAGACAGCTACCTGGATCACGACTCGAGGAGACTGAGAGAAATACCACAGAGGAAGTCCGAACAGGCTGAGCAGCGCCGCCTTCGTCTCGTAGGTCTCCGAGCAGCGAGTGCTCAGGATGCTGCCCCCTGTAGGACGACAGCACACACACACACACACACACCTGTCAGGTACCGGTCACGGTGTGGGCTTGGAGCCTCAGGTTACCTGACCGGTCACCTGACTGCTGTCGGGTACGTTTGGTTTCTGACCTCCAGACTCCAGAGCGAAGTCTGCCAGGCCGGTCCGATCCTGAGAAAACAGGCGCAGAGCGTTCTTCACCATCTCCTGGACGTCCTGCAAGAGACGAGCCGTTAGTCAACTCAGCGATGTGGAGGAGCCCTCGATAACGTGAGGACTCGTCGGATCTCACCTCCTGGGTCACGGCGGTGTCCATGACGGCCTCTCGGACCGTCTCCTCACCGCGGTGCTGCTCCAGCTGCAGGCTGACGTTCTGCAGGATGCTGAGCTCCAGAGAGAGCAGCGCCTCCTGCAGGTCGGCCCCGCTGACGTGATGCTGAGACAGCCACCAGAGGAGCGACTCCTCTGGGAGGCCGGGGGCCCCATCCCCCCCCACCGTCAGCTGGTTACCATAGACCAGAACCCGAACCTCCTCGCGGACCTGAGCCGAAATCTGACAGAAAACCAACGAACGGTAAAAGGACACAGAAAGAGACAAACGTATCAAAGAATAGAGTTTATTCTAAGGAAACCTTTTCACTATTGTTGTGTTTATATTGTGAGTTTAGAACCCTTGAATCACTTCTAATGATCCATGTCTCATCTCTCACCGTCTGCTGGATTGTGTCCAGTCGTCTGCAGCCGTCCTGACAGACAGACAGACCTTCAACATCACGCCTCACCTCCTCCAAAGCGTCCTCCAACCGAGCAACCTCTGCCAGCAATGCCTCATGGGACTGACGGTCCACACCTTCACTACAGGAAGTAACAACACAGACAGTTTACCCGAGAGGCTCAAAGAGGTCCACCTGTTCCTCTTCATCATCACATCAAACAGACTACAGCTGTACAGTGAAGAGGAGGATGAAGGTTACCTGACAGCAGCTACAAGTGTTGATGAAGGCGAGACTGTCGTAGCAGCTTCTCGTCTCCACTGCACCTCCTGGAAAAAATAAAATAAAAACCTGTCCTGGAAGCAAACACCAGAGCTTTTGTACCAATCAAATAAGATTAATAGTAGTTTTAAAAGAGACGGGGGGCCGGCGGGTTGATAAGAGACGGGGGGCCGGCGGGTTGATAAGAGACGGGGGGCCGGCGGG